CCCCCTCCATTGTGTAGAGTACAAGAAGCCCCCCATTGTGTAGAGTACAAGAAGCCCCCTCCATTGTGTAGAGTACAAGAAGTCCCCTCCCTATTGTGTAGAGTACAAGAAGTCCCCCCCATTGTGTAGAGTACAAGAAGCCCCCCCCATTGTGTAGAGTACAAGAAGCCCCCCCCCATTGTGTAGATTACAAGACGCCCCCTCCTTTGTGTAGAGTACAAGACGCCCCCTCCATTGTGTAGTGTACAAGAAGCCCCCCATTGTGTAGAGTACAAGAAGCCCCCCCCCATTGTGTAGAGTACAAGAAGCCCCCCCCATTGTGTAGAGTACAAGAAGCCCCCTCCATTGTGTAGAGTACAAGAAGGCCCCTCCATTGTGTAGAGTACAAGAAGCCCCCTCCATTGTGTAGAGTACAAGAAGGCCCCTCCATTGTGTAGAGTACAAGAAGCCCCCTCCATTGTGTAGAGTACAAGAAGGCCCCTCCATTGTGTAGAGTACAAGAAGGCCCCTCCATTGTGTAGAGTACAAGAAGCCCCCTCCATTGTGTAGAGTACAAGAAGCCCCCCATTGTGTAGAGTACAAGAAGCCCCCCCCATTGTGTAGAGTACAAGAAGCCCCCCCCATTGTGTAGAGTACAAGAAGCCCCCGCCCATTGTGTAGAGTACAAGAAGCCCCCCCCCCATTGTGTAGAGTACAAGAAGCCCCCTCCATTGTGTAGAGTACAAGAAGCCCCCCCCCATTGTGTAGAGTACAAGAAGCCCCCCATTGTGTAGAGTACAAGAAGCCCCCCATTGTGTAGAGTACAAGAAGCCCCCCATTGTGTAGAGTACAAGAAGCCCTCCATTGTGTAGAGTACAAGAAGCCCCCCATTGTGTAGAGTACAAGAAGCCCCCCATTGTGTAGAGTACAAGAAGCCCCCTCCATTGTGTAGAGTACAAGAAGCCCCCGCCATTGTGTAGAGTACAAGAAGCCCCCGCCATTGTGTAGAGTACAAGAAGCCCCCGCCATTGTGTAGAGTACAAGAAGCCCCCCCCATTGTGTAGAGTACAAGAAGCCCCCGCCATTGTGTAGAGTACAAGAAGCCCCCCCCCATTGTGTAGAGTACAAGAAGCCCCCCCCATTGTGTAGAGTACAAGAAGCCCCCGCCATTGTGTAGAGTACAAGAAGCCCCCTCCATTGTGTAGAGTACAAGAAGCCCCCCCCCATTGTGTAGAGTACAAGAAGCCCCCGCCATTGTGTAGAGTACAAGAAGCCCCCCCCCATTGTGTAGAGTACAAGAAGCCCCCCCCCATTGTGTAGAGTACAAGAAGCCCCCGCCATTGTGTAGAGTACAAGAAGCCCCCCCCCATTGTGTAGAGTACAAGAAGCCCCCCCCCCCCATTGTGTAGAGTACAAGAAGCCCCCCCCCCATTGTGTAGAGTACAAGAAGGCCCCCATTGTGTAGAGTACAAGAAGCCCCCCATTGTGTAGAGTACAAGAAGCCCCCTCCATTGTGTAGAGTACAAGAAGTCCCCTCCCTATTGTGTAGAGTACAAGAAGTCCCCCCCATTGTGTAGAGTACAAGAAGCCCCCTCCATTGTGTAGAGTACAAGAAGCCCCCCCATTGTGTACATTGTGTAGAGTACAAGAAGCCCCCCCCTCCACCATTGTGTAGAGTACAAGAAGCCCCCCCCATTGTGTAGAGTACAGGAAGCCCCCCAGTGTAGAGTACAAGAAGCCCCCCATTGTGTAGAGTACAAGAAGCCCATTATTGAGGTCTGTCCTCCGCCCCTCCATCGGCCAGCTCTAGATCGTTCCCAGGATTCAACCCCCACAACAGCGGCCGAACTCAATGGTACTTATTGACTACTACATGAACAGAGGCATCAGCTGTAAGGAAATGTGGCCAGGAATCAAATTCAGGGCGTTTTGGTTGTAAGCTTACTGCACAGATTATTGTGCTACACATCACCGTTACTGCTGTTACCTAGCAGTAAAATAGGTACCTGGGTGTTAGTCAGCTGTCACAGGCTGCTTCCTGGGGGTGGAGGCCTGGTCGAGGACCGGGCCGCGGGGACACTAAAAAAGCCCCGAAATCATCTCAAGATAACCTCAAGGTAACCTCACCGTTTCTGATTCGTGTGAATGTATGACATGCATCCCTCTTCTCAATTTCCGGGTTTTATTTTTCTTAAATTTGTATACTTATGGTGGCATTTATTGATTAACTCCCGTCAGGTTTTCACCAATTAAAATTACTTGTTTATTTGTTATAATTATGGATGGACTCCCGTGTGATCCTCGAGCTTAAGTCCTACCTTGAGGTGCTTCCGGGGCTTAGCGTCCCCGCGGCCCGGTCGTCGACCAGGCCTCCTGGATACAGCCTTAACGTAAATCCAGTTCCCGAAACCAATTTCCGTCACTGATATGGTGCTTTCAAATGGATGGAAATGTGATGTGTGTAAATAGTCCATGTACAGAGGGTTGTTGATCTTACTATATAACATGAGTGTTTTGACTTCGTGATGCATAAGACATTCAGTTTATTTACATATCTGATTAATTTGGGTTTTTAGTTTTCATCCGTCTCCTTGTCCCGGTGCCATACATAGTTTGTAAGGGAAGATATTGAAGCCATACGATGGGATCAAACCTACATCCCAGAACTCGGGCACATACTGACTGGTTTATAGATATAGTATATATATGTATCAGGTTCTTGGGATTTAATTTTGTACATTGTAGAAGGGGGGGAAGATGGAGAACATCACTACCAACATGTGTCTGTTGTGGTGGATGTCTCGCAAAACTTGGGATGTACAAGAGTACTGTACATCTCAAGGGTACCGGTCAGTGCTTTCCTACATCCTTACAAGCCTGGTAGTGCTTCTGGTTTAGATGCCTTGAGCCCATCATGGTCTAGGCGGTAGAGTACTGTACAAGGAGTCCATGGATGCAGGTTCGATCCCATTGTACACTTTCAGTATTTTTCTCAGATATATAACTTGTGATTTTATTGGAAAAAACAATGTCCTACTAGGGGTGGGTTGGGTTATCTACTTACACACTAAGTGCTATTTGTTATAACAAAAATGCAAGTTTAAATTTAAATAAAAATAAGTTGGCTCAGATTAAAGCAAAAAAATTTAATTTTTATTTTTTAAATCTGCCCGGGTTTATTGAACTAAAAAACCCGGTTGTGGTGGGTAAGTGGGTAGCTACCTCGCCAATTCTGGTATAGTACGTAAGAATGTGTGTGGTTTCCATGATTGTGTTGCGTGCTCCAGTAATGGTCTTCCATTTGTGGTATACAGTATCCTGAAGGATTCTCTGTTGAGATTCCTGAATGCTGTTTTTACACTTGTCAATCCATGCATGTGCTTTGAAGTTATCCGGTTTGTGTATGTACTCATCTAGTTGTGCTTGTTGGGGTTGAAGTCTGGCTCTTTGGTCCTGCCTTTCAACTGTCAACTTATGTACAGGTTCCTGAGCCTATTGGGCTCTATCATATCTACACTTGAAACTGTGTATGTACTCCACCACATCACTTTCTAAAGCATTCCATTTGTTAACTACTCTGACATTAAACAAAATATTTCTAATGTCTCAATAGCTCATTTGGGCACTCAATTTCCACATGTCCCCAAGTGCATGTGCCCCTTGTGTTAAATAGTGTCTATCTACCTTTGTGTATTTCGGCCAGTCGGTTTGTTGCGACACCCATCAAATGTTTTTTCATTAGCTGACATCCATAAAATGTTTATTCATTAGCTGACACTCATAAAACATTTTTTCATTCACTGACACCCATAAAACGTTTTTCATTAGCTGTCAGTTATTTTGTAACAGTGCTGCCAGAGAAATGATTTAGTAATCACGAAGTCAGTTGCCTGGAAAGGTAGGAAGGAAGGATTCTGTTTCTCTAGGTAGGCTAGAGCATATCTGTTCAAGCATATCGAGAACATATCAAGACAGATTCTCTAAAGACTCGACTGGTTATACCCCTCCATCCTGATTTCTTTCGTTGTGACTTTTGCTTCTGTTCACCAGTTAAAACAGCTGGACTTACCAGTAGAAAGACATCCTTGCATTTTGCAACGTTGCTGTTCGATCCCAGTGATTCAAGGCGTTGTGCACTATTTCGTCCCTCTGTGCTCAAATCCTAGTTGCTTGTTCTTGTATCCCTTTCAAGTTCTGTATAGTCATACTGGCTTAGTGTGCTCTTCTGATAATTACCTTTCCTTCTGCTTGTCAACTAAACCATTATCCATTGTTGTACTAGTCCTTACTCACCAGCTTTATACTCCTTTCCAGATACACCAGCTTGCATTGTGCTAATTTGTTTTTCATTAGTTCCCAGTAAGGCATTGTATCAGTAGGCTTCTGACAATCTAGACATGCAATAGACTCTTTCTTCAATCTCTGTCCTGCTCTGTCATCTTATAAATTATATGGCATTTGTTTATTAGCCACGATTTGCCTTTTCTGAACTCGCGATGGTGTTTGAAGATGTACTCAATGCTTTCAAGGTGGTTTCTTTGTTACCTCTCTAATTTACTGGATATTTCTAATTTACTGGATATGCATGTTTTAGGTAATAGACTGTAGTTTGTAACCTTTAGTTCATGTTTAATACTAGTAGTATCACTTAAATGTTTTCCAGCTGTCAAGATTTTTCTAGTGTGTGTTATTATACAAGTACTGTAAGTGTAGTTACAGGATGAAAGCTACGCTTGTGGTGTCTTGTCTTCCTAGTACTCTTTGTCATATAAATCTTTGAAATTACTGTGTGCGCGCGAGTGTGAATGCACGTGTGTGCGCGTGTTGGCATACATGTGGACACGTGCATGCATGGGTTTAGCTGTTTAATCATTGGAAATTGTAATTGTCCTATTTTATGCTTTACCATATTACTATTAATTTGATTAGTACTGTAGTTGTGTTATTAGTATTGTGTTCATTACTACATTGACCTGATAGTGTACGCGATTATTCATGAATTATGGTTGTTATTTCCGCAGCGGGTGTGGAGGAGTGGGAGATTCTTGGGAGGATGCCCGAGCCGGCGAGCAGGAGGTGCTGGTCGTGTTAAAGAAGGACCAGTTAGATAAGGCTAACAAAGACACGCATCACAAATTGCTACCAGAAGACTTTCAGGTTAGTGGATGTGTTCGTTGGTTTGACGTAGGTTGGCTTGTAAGGTGAGCAAAATAGGTTTTATAGAGAGGGGGCACTGTGTCTTGTTTACGTAATTGGGTTGTAAGGTGAGCAGAATAGGTTTTATAGAGGGGGCACTATGTCTTGTTTACGTAGGTTGGCTTGTAAGGTGAGCAAAATTAGTTTTATAGAGAGGGGCACTATGTCTTGTTTACGTAATTGGGTTGTAAGGTGAGCAAAATAGGTTTTATAGAGAGGGGCACTATGTCTTGTTTATGTAATTGGCTTGTAAGGTGAGCAAAATAGGTTTTATAGAGGGGAGGAGGCACTATGTCTTGTTTACGTAATTGGCTTGTAAGGTGAGCAAAATAGGTTTTATAGAGAGGGGGCACTGTGTCTTGTTTACGTAACTGGGTTGTTAGGTGAGCGAAATATGTAGATGTTGTAGATCATGTCATCTTTGTTTACATAGGTTTGGTTGTAAGGTGAGTTAAATAGATGTTGTAGGGAGGTAGATTAAATGACAGATAATGAACTGTTGTATTTGAAAAACAATTTGATGTGATGTTAAAGAATATGCAAAGTCTTATTTAATATGAAGTTAGTGTCAGCTTTCAGTTGGAGAAGTCAAATACAATATGGATAGAGAGATAATGTAGTTCAGTAATAATGGGTTATGTTACGTGATTACTCACAATAACAATACCAATAATACCTTGCGGTTACTTTGCGATAATTTCGGGGCTCAACGTCTCCGCGGCCCGGTCCTCGGCCTGGCCTCCTCGTGGCCGCTGTCAACGATAATCTAGTGCCAGGAATTTCATACATAATTGAATTTCAGCAACTACGTGTTAACAGGTATGCTGGGTATTGTCCACTTAGATTTTTTTCTTCTTATCAGCACATCGTTAAATAATTCATAAATTATTAATTAATTACACAATTTTCATTTTTGTTGCAGCACACAAAAGAGAAATCATTTGTGAATGTCGTTTTTCTGTACCCAAATTGTGAATTCATGGGGAAAGAAACTCTATTGTTAAAGAGTTTCCGTAAAGAACATGCGATCTTTACCATTCCTTCCATTACTAACAATTTGCCTAACCTGCATATGTTACCTCCTGCCTGTGTCCAGGGTGGTAAACCTGGACATGACTTAAACATTCAGATTTGGTAGATAATCAGTTTGTTTCTCCAATAAATTGTTAACATTAGAATCAGTTTGGCTCGTCTGTTAATTTGTTTCAGCCAGGTCCATTCTTCTGAAGTCCAACTACATTTAAGAGGGGCAAAATACTTCTATTATTTATTGTTATTTTTCATGCTAGTATGCCGAGACGCATTCATGATCCAGTTATTCTGAGTTGGATTAAATGCTTTCTATTATCTCCCTTTCACCAGTATGGCTATATAGGGACATTTGAGAGGTTTGCTGTGGCACCAGTGCCAGAATGTCAACTTGTCTGTTCATGATCCTGTCCTGTTTACCATGCCAATCTTGTCTTTGCGCATAAATAAATGATCTACTCAAAACCCTACTTTTCACATTTTCCCAGTCTTCTTTGTATTCACGTCTCATGTATTATATTGTAATGGTAATCTTATGTGTTTTATACATTATCCAGATTGAGCTATGGTGGATGGTGACGTATGTAAACAAGGGGGGTAGTAATGTGTTAGACTCCAGAGATAGTGGCTCTACGCCAAGCACAATTACTCCGTCAGGCTCCTCGTCTGACACGGATGATGACGACGACGACGAAGAAGATGAGGACTGGGACTCAGGTAGGAGGTATATTTCTCTCTGAACACTTGCTGTACCTTGCTCGTCTCTGTGGGTCTATCCATTGCATTTGTATGTGTATATCTGGATTAGTTTTCTTTTTCCATTTAATTTAATGTATTTATTTTCAATTTGTCATTCTAGTTCTGTGCTTGCCTGCATATTTTGGCCTGAAGCTTAATACCAAAAAAGTATGTTGTTGTTGTATGTATTAAAGTACTGTATTTGATTGACTATGACTATATCAAACTATCCTGTAATTGATTTTTGTTTCTCTTGCAAATGAAATTTCTTTTAATAATGGACTATTATAAGAAATTATAATTACTTGGAAGTTCTGTACCTTAGTCTTTTTCTTGGCTGTTCTAGTTGTGTGTTGTACATTTAGTGATTTGAATTATAATTGTCCAAATTTCATGTCATATACTAGTATTAATTTTCAAGATTGATTCACATGAACATTATTGATGTGACATATGAGTGTTATTAGTCATAGTTTGTTTACTACAAAAATAAAATAAAATAAAACTTTAACCAAAACTTACAAGTATATCCTGTGTGATGTGTTGACTAAAGCAAGTATGCTGTACAATGTACATAATTTTATTTATCAATCAAATTAATAACATGTTTATGTAAATGTTTATCCCTTAATTTCTGCATGTGATTCTTTTTATTGATTTGATTCTTTTACACTATGGCATATATATATATATATATATATATATATAATATATATATATTTATTTTTTGCTTTTCTAATTGTTTACAAGCAGAGAGGCCTTGGCATCCTTACTTGTGCATAATAATTCATTAAACTCTATTACTGAAGCACGAAATGTGAATTACGATACAGTAATTACATTAATTACTGTATTGTTGATTGAATATAAAAGTACAACAGTTTGTATTATTCACTTGATGAAGAAAGGGAAAAAAATAATGTTGAGCTGTTTGAATATAATTTGAAGAATGTGTTTTCATAGTTATTTCAAGTGGTGATGGATTAATTTTTTCAAGAGGTGTACAAATTATTTCAAGAGGTGATAGATAAATTGTTTGCTTCGGGAAGGGATAGGTAAATTGTTTGCTTCAAGAAGGGATAGGTAAATTGTTTGCCTCAAGAAGGGATAGGTAAATTGTTTGCCTCAAGAAGGGATAGGTAAATTGTTTGCTTCAGTAGGTGATAGATAAATTGTTTGTTTCAATAGGTGATAGGTAAATTGTTTGCTTCAGGAAGGGATAGGTAAATTGTTTGCTTCAGGAAGGGATAGGTAAATGGTTTGCTTCAAGAAGGGATAGGTAAATTGTTTGCTTCAGGAAGGGATAGGTAAATTGTTTGCTTCAGGAAGGGATAGGTAAATGGTTTGCCTCAAGAAGGGATAGGTAAATTGTTTGCTTCAAGAAGGGATAGGTAAATTGTTTACTTCAAGAAGGGATAGGTACAGTTTGCTTTAGGAAGGGATAGGTAAATTGTTTGCTACAAGAAGGGATAGGTAAATTGCTTCAATAAGGGATAGGTAAATTGTTTGCTTCAAGAATGGATAGGTAAATTGTTTGCTTCAAGAAGGGATAGGCAAATTGTTTGCTACAAGTGATGTTGAATAAATTGATTACCATGTAATTTTTTGCTCTACCTTTTTACAATTATACTCTCTTGCATAACGGTAGTTTTCTGTGCTAAACATTCCTGATTTTTATTTTTATACCAAAATGCAGTTAATTGAAAATCTTCTTTTACCACTTGCAACTAAGATTTGCAGGTATTGTTATCAATTACTTCCATTGTTAATGTATTGCTATTTGCCAATATCAAATGCTCCTCAAAGATGCATTTTTATTTGGACATGCTGTATGAGTTTGCATATTTTGCTTAATGTGATCACATAGCTGGTCCAACTACTGAATTTGTTAAAAGTATAATTGGTGATGTTCTCTTTATAGTGCAGTATAGTACAGTGCAATCTCGGTTCAGCAAACTAGATGGGGACCAACCCCCAATTAGTTGGAGTGAGGGATTTGTTGCTACAGGGGTACACAATAAACTAGCTGCCTCCGGCAGCAACAACAGACAAAGAATTGCTACTTTTGTATGATTAATTATTTTTGAATGCGTTGCTGTGTCTGCTTCTAATGTTTCATTCATTTACAAAATTTGCTAAAACATGATTGGAGCCCTAATATGTTACTATTCATACCTTAATAATTCCCTTGCTCTGTGGGCAAATTTCACAGAGCAAAATTGTAATTTCAAGCCATTATATGATTGACTTTTATCAGAACATGTCATTAAAGAGATTTCATCACGTCTAGCATATTTCCCATGCCCTAGCCTTGAAACATCATTTTTGAAGAAGGGAGCATATTTAGGTGGTCAAAAACTGTGACAACTCAAAATTGAAGTGAAGAATAGAATTCCGTTTGAAATGTGCTCAATGACTTACCCACGGCTTCAACTCTTTGTTCTAATATGTCCATCTTGGAAAATCATTAAAAAACATGATTGGAGCCATATTAAGAGTGCTAACATTCATGCACTAATATTTACCATGTTCTATGAGCTGCTTTCACTAAGCAAATTTTTAATTTCAACCATTATATGGTAGCAACTTTCCCACAAGTTTGTGAACTCGGGCCCAGCTTCCTTAGCAAATCCCTTGCTTCACCATATCTCCAAACACTTGTTCGGCGAAGTGGGTTAGTAAATCTGACATGAAAAGTGTGCGTTGCAACCAAAGATTCGCCGGGATGAGGTTTGCTGAATCGAGGTTACACTGTTCGGTGAAGTTTGTTTCTTGAGCACTGGGGAAATATATGTACTGTACATTTTAGCAAGTATAAAGGGGGCAGGAGATACAAACTGCTGAGAAAGATGGTGGAAATTGGAAGAAAGATATTACAGTACCTGGTTCATTTATGCTCCCTACATTCTAGCATTCCATTGTACTTGCTCTTGATGCTGTGAATGGAGATGCTTTCACCATATCTGCCCCAAGCTCTTTCCACTTGCTTACTACTCGCACTGCATATGAGTACTTTGTTATTTCTCCTATTCATATGTTTCCAGTTTCCATCTGTGCCCTCCCTCATTCTGCATTTCTCTGGACAAGGCTTTCTCTCCGCTTACCTGTTTCTCTCTCTACATTGTATGTCGTGATCATGTCTTCTCCAGACCTTGTTTCTTCTTGGATTCCCTTAATTTGTTTTCATAGTTTATAATACACGTTATGAAGCGAGAGAATGCGCCTATTAGGAAGCTCTAGCTCATCAATACTTACCAGTGTCTATGGAGAACAGTATCTGGCTCTTGGGGTCTGCCTCCTAGCTATTGGTATGTGATGCTTTTATATATATCAGCATTATAGTTCACTGTTGTGTGTCCTCTTGAAACTAATGGAAAGGTAATCCACACTTCTCCCAGCGCATTTCACTTGCCATCTATACTACATCACATTTTCTTACATCTTGTACATATGTGTGTTTCTTACTAAACCCCAAGTTCTCTTGTCCTATTATTACATATTTGAGATTGTGTGACTTTCTCTTAAAAAGACAATGTCTTAGGGAGAAAGCATATGCCTCTTCAGAACTTACAAGCTAGGGTAATATATTAAAAATATGCCTGTAGGTATGTACAAGACGCTCACAAGATGCTAGATTTGCACGGTTAATGAGCAAGATGATTATCAAATTAATATTTAAGACAATAATTAGCTAATGGAAATATATTTATAGTCCTACTGTACCATATTTTTTGTTCGAGTGCCTATGTTTAAGTTGGTGCAAGGTGAATATTGAAGGGAGCACAGGTGTTATTTATCTTGACGTGCAAGTGTGGGGAAGCATGCATGCGTGTGAATGCATTGGTGTCTATACACATGCACTGCACAACTCCACGAGTCGAAAAGTATATAGGGCTAAGAGTATATGAAGAGCCAAGTCTAATGCTAAAGGTACTTATTAACAGAAAAACATTTTGTGATTATGTGAAGTTGGCAAATATGCCACTTGTCTTGAGAGTAAACAGCTACAGTAAGGAGCCCACACCAAAAAATGCTCCCTTTGGGCACAGATAGGCAAGTTTGCACAATGAAATTACAATAACGTAATGTATCTATGGGGTGTCGAGAGATGAGAATCCAGTCCAGCTCATTATAAGAATGTGAGAAAAGCTACTGGAATTAAGTAACATATTGCTGGAAGACAGCAGAATTAAGGGAGACATGATTACCGTGTATACAATTGAGGGGAATTGATGTGGCAGAGAGGACAGACTATTCAGCATGAGTGGTACTCAACTAAGGAAGCAAAAAGTGAAACTGACCAACAATATAAGCCATATTGATATTAGAGATAACTTTCTCACTGTCAGAAGAGTGAACAAATGGAATGTACTAAGATGCAAAAGGGTGGAGGCTGACTCCATATACAGTTTCAAATGTAAATATGATAGAGCTCAGTAGGCAAAGGAATCTGAACACCAGTTGATGGAAAGCTAAGAGGCATTACCCAAGAGCAGACGTTCAGCCCTTACAAGCACAATTTGGCAAGTTCCCACACTTGTTCTTACACATTCACATCCTCTTTTTCATATGTACACATACACACATAGCCTTCCCTCACATGCACACATACATGTATCTTTTGCTGCCACAAGATCGGTGGTTTGAGCCAGCATCAACACTTAGCGTCATGTGACAACGATAATTGGGAAGATGGGACACAAAACATTGCTCTCATCCTGTAACACTTGCACAATCTCCACAACCTCCACCCACGTGCACAACCTCCACCCACGTGCACAACCTCCTCCCACGTGCACAACCTCCACCCACGTGCACAACCTCCTCCCACGTGCACAACCTCCACCCACGTGCACAACCTCCACAACCTCCACCCACATGCTGGCACAAATACATTAATAATTGTCTTTAAGGCAGGAAATGCAAAGTTGACAGTATTCTTCAGCTCCTGCGGGCTTGCTTGTTAAGCTTATTGATCATGGCAATACAGTATGTTTGTTACCTCATCTTTGCTCTTGAAATAATTGAGAGATGCCACCAAAATTGCAAGTTGTTAAGTTTTACGGAATGAGTCACAGTAATGTTGCCAAAAATTTTACACCGAACCCACAAATATGAAAAGAAAGGGACATTTCCGGCTGTGATAAGGGTCAATGACAGACCAAAATGCCATTACTTTTTCTTTTATTTCATGTGTGTGGGTTGGGTGTCTTAATTGTTAAGTTTTGTTTTATACTATTCATGTTTTATATATATCATTGTTGTCTGTTTACATGCACTTGTACCTTTCCATGCTCTGTTTCTCAAATATTGGACCATTAAACATTATTCTTGTAACCCTTATAGTGTTTGGATGGATGCTATTTGCATGCTTTATTTTTACTGTAGCAAGGCTCAATAGTATGTGTTTTTGGAACTGTCATACTGAGCAAAGTTTGTCAATAAATGATAACTCTGTAGTCAAAGTAGACGTTAAGAATGAATTCAGTGTATCCATTTTTTTCTCTCGGTGGAAGACGCCCAGAACACAGCACAAATGGAATCGCGAGCTTGTCATATTTTTAGCTTGTCATGGTGCAGCTGATAGTGTGCGCGCCTGAGAAGTTCAGTGAAGGGGGGGAAGGTTAGATCTCGTTATACAACCTCAATATTTGTTAGTAAATCTGTGTTCATTTGCACGAATGACATTGATAAATACTATGCATTTAATGAATGATTATAATTTAATGTACACTAAGTACTTGCAACAGTATTTTGTCTTTGAACAATGAGGCAGGACCTTTGACAAGCCACCGGCTTCCTGTCTGTTTTGATGCCACTGTAGACATCAAAAACAGACATCAGGTAAATATCAAATAAAAAAAAACATGCCTAGTACAGTACTTTTATGTGGAAGCAAATGGAAAATTTTTGTTGAGGTTCAAATCTGTTTTATAAGGTTTTAATGATGTAGAGTATTTTAACATTCTTCATTGCTTGGAAAATAGAGATGAAATTTATTTAAAATTTATAAAAAACAATTTTCTATAAGCAATTAAAGGTTGTCAATTAAAAATTGACAGCATAGTATATTATACTCTTGCAAATTCCAGGTTAATATTTATGTAAATTTTGGTAATTATTATTCAGAGGAGCCTCGATTAACGAATTTAATCCATTCCGGCACCGAGCTCGTCATGTGAAATGCTCGTCTCGTGAAACGAATTTCCCCATTTAAAATAATGGAAATAAAATTAATCCGTTCCACCTCCGAAAAACATCAATATGACATTTAATAATGTAATTATAATACATGTAATTATTATAAATGTTTTGTTTTCCTGTTTTCAACTGTACTTTACCTTATGAAGTCGTTGCTGGTTTGAGGGAGATGATGGGGGCGGAGGAGAGGGGGTTACAGTGTGGAAGGAGAATCCACCTCTGAGTCAGGCGATTTCCTTCTTCAAATCTACATTAATTGTCTGTCTACCTCTTGACAACACTATCTTTAGCAAGCAGCTTCTTTGGCGACATCGTGGGTTACAAATTGTAGTAACAAAACCCTTCAAAAAACAAAGAAAAGCACAAATAAATGCAGAGGGATGTATGTCCTGCGCGATAAAATAACAACTCTGTCATTGGAGGCGTCCAAGAATTTGCAAGAACAGTGGAACGCTAGGAAGTACGTGGTTTTCTCGTTAATCGAGTGGAAATTTGTCAGTCGAGATAAATTTTCTGCGAGTGGCTCGCTCGTTACCTAAAATGCTCGTAGATGGGGCTGCTCGTTCCACGAGGTTCCTCTGTAGTCATCTTCCATGTCCGAGTTTATAGTGTTGGGTAATCCCAAAATGTGCAGACAATGAGTCACAATAACGTGGCTGAAGATATGATGACCAAACCACACACCAGAAGATGAAGAGACGACGACGTTTCGGTGCATCCTAGACCATTATCAGGTCGATTGTCGATCCACAATCGACTTGATAATGGTCCAGGACGAATTGAAACATCGTCATCTCGTCCTGGACCATTATCAGGTCGATTGTCGATCCACAATCGACTTGATAATGGTCCAAGATGGACTGAAACATCGTCATCTCTCCATCTTCTGGTGTGCATGGCGTGGTCATCTATCCAAAAATGTGATAATGTTGTACAAAAGACAAATTTGGTTGCTGCATCTCTTTGACAGTTTTGAGCCTTGCTTCAGCATTGTGTTCTCAGATGCATTTAATTAAGTCTTTTCAGCACCTGTAATGCAGAGTGTACATCACTGTGTTGTCCATAATTTAACCTATTGTAATCCCCCCTAAATGCATTTTTATGATTTTAATAAAGCATGTGATTTTAATAATGGGTGTTATAGTGTACTTCTTGGTTCTCCTCCTTTGTTCCTGGCCTTTCCTTGCTAGTTTCTACCTTTCTTTCCTAATTCCTGCCTCTCGGTTATATATAAATTGTGTTTCTTCTGTTACTTGGGTGGGCTTTGTGAATGATTTTTTTGTTAATGTGTTGGGGCATGTGCTCATTCTCTCTCTCCTTTGCTTTCTCTTCTCTCACTTGTTCTCTCTTCTCTCCCTTCTTGCCTACTCAGTTTTCTCCATTCTTCTGCTTTCCCTGTCTTGCCCTCTTTTCCCTTTCTCTCACCCCCTCTACTGCTTTCCTTCTCCTCTCCTTGGATTTCCTTTCTCTCCTTTCTCCAACCTCATTCCCACTTTCTCTTGTCCCTCGTCCCTTCTCTTTCTACTCCCACTCCTCTTTCCTCTTATCTCTACCCTTCATTCCTCTTTGCCTTTCATTACTTTCTGCTGCTCTTCCTTCTCATTTCTTCCCTCCCACCTTCAACCACTCGGCGATGCGAGCACTCTCGCATCCCTTGTGGTAATGGAGGAAGCTAAGGGTTTGGGGGACTTGTGCGCTCTTGACTTCTTCATGCCTTGCCGCATGCCCAAGTGGCTCCCCACCTTGGGAAATGGGATCGTGATCATTACCGTCTTCCTATCTTCCCGTCTGTGTTTTGTTTATGCCTTCGCTTGTAATTATATGTGGTGCACAGCGCGATGTATATCCATCATCGGTGTTCTTAGAAGCTTGCTTTTCGACAAATAATGACTGGAAAGATTTTTGTTGTTTATAAATTTCCTGAAGTGATATATTGCCACAAGACTTTGCTTCTGATTGCGTTTGATTCATATGTGCTAATAAAGTGGTCCTAGTAGAATGGTCGTTTTGAGGCAGAAACTGGGAACGGTTTGATTTTCCTCTCAAATTCATCAGTGATACTTGATCCAAGACCTCTCTTAATATTGCATATGAACCCTCCAACCTCCCCCTTTCCCTTATAGGAGGTACCACCAGTGGGCCACGATTAAACTAAATTAATGGTTTGATGCTTTCTTCAGCTTTTTACAGTTGTTCCTTTCCACAAGATCTCACTTGCAGTTGCCTTTCAGCCACCTCTGCCCATAGGTGGCACCACCAGTGGACCACATGAAACCTTGCTTGCAATCATCAAGCCTGCTGGTAAATATGACCCGCAGAGCTCTAGCACCCCCCATGTCTAGTGGACGTTTATAGTTTTGTGTACAGTTTTTCCTAGCCTTTGTCTCCGTCTGCCGTTCCTTTCCCCTTTCTCTCTCTCTCTCTCTCTCTCTCTCTCTCTCTCTCTCTCTCTCTCTCTCTCTCTCTCTCTCTCTCTCTCTCTCTCTCTCTCTCTCTCTCTCTCTCTCTCTCTCTCTCTCTCTCTCTCTCTCTCTCTCTCTCTCTCTCTCTCTCTCTCTCTCTCTCTCTTTCTCTCTTTCTCTTTCTCTCTCTCTCTTTCTCTTTCTCTCTCTCTCTCTCTTTCTCTTTCTCTTTCTCCTTCACTGTCCTGTTGCTTGTGTTTTAATTAAAGCTTTTTAAGACTGGAAATTTGTATTGTGGTTTGCTTTTTATGTTTCGGCTTAAGTAATTAGTTTTTCTTTCTTGTTATTTCGAGAAGTACAGTAATATTATTGATGCTTATTGTTAAAACTATTGCATTATAGATATGTTGGCTTATTTGTTGAAATGTAATGATCTAATGTTTGCTTAAGCATTGTTATCCTAGTTTACATTTTGTATGGAATGAGGCAAGTCTAGTTCTAAAAGTCTTTTGCACTGTTTTGTAATATTTGCTAACAGTTTTTTTGTGTGCAGTTATTGCACTAGTTAAGCATTAATTACAGTATAGTTTTTTAAATCTTGATTCTAGTCTAAAGTTGTGTGCCAGAGTTTGTGATATAATCATTGATTGTGATTGTTTCTAATAGTATAGTGTGTAGGTCATTCTCTTTAGCTCTTCTTAAAGGACGTTGCTTAACACTGTCTTGAACTGAGACTAATCATCTTGGTGAGATTATCTTCATTTCAGTGTGGGGAAACGGAATTTGTTTTTAACAAAAACAAAACAAATTTAGACTCCCCCCTCCTTATGTTAGTGATATATGCAAAATAAATATATATATATTTATATATAAAACATACATCCACGAGCGCACACACATTTATGCACAAACAATTTTGTGTTAAGAATTGGTGTAATGTTGTACAGTGTCATTCGGTAAGTGTGTAATATGTGTACAGCTTTAGAGGGTGAGTGTGTAGTGTACTCTAGTGTCATGCATGAGTGTATTGTTGTTAGGCATTGTTAGTGTGTAGTTGTGTGTCGTTTGACCCTTTGGCAGCGACGCCATTTCTTCAACTCCACCAAAGATGGAAATGCAGCCACAAAAAAAAAAACAGTTTGGAAATTCGTATTTTGTTCTTGTATTCGTTAAAATGAGAGTGCCTGCTTTTTGTTGCCGTGCCATTCAAATGTGACCCAGTGCAAAACCCAGGTTTGTGTGTGTGTGTGTGTGTGTGTGTGTGTGTGTGTGTGTGTGTGTGTGTGTGTGTGTGTGTGTGTGTGTGTGTGTGTGTGTGTGTGTGTGTGTGTGTGTGTTTGTTCTCCCAAGGCCTAATACAGTTGCAAATGCATCCAATAACTATAATTTTCAAAGAAAAATTTTGGGTTTTATATTTTTTATTCATTTGTTATTTATTCATTCACTTCATGACTAAGCATTAACAATTATTTCTTATTTAATAAAATCATCACGATGGACAGTATGGATCAAGTTACTCGGTGTTCCTAAGCATATTGACCAAGACATTTTTTAGTTGCAAGATAAAATATAAAATGAATTAAACATTTTTCTTACATCAATTGCTTTTTCATTATATTTTGTGTTGTTTTCTAATAAGAAAAAGGAATAACTTTCATTTGTAGAATTAATCATTACAGTACTTAGAATGATTTAAAATAATATTGAAAAAAGGGCATATAAACATTTACATGCCTAAAAAATTCTTAAGTTTGTAAATAGACTTAATTTTGTTTAATGTACACAGTATGTTATAACATAATATTCCACGAATAAATCCACAAGGGCCGTGAGGAGGGTTCGAACTTACGTCCAGGATGATCCCTCACGCTATTGTGATTTCTGAGTGTATAATACTCCAAATTATGTAAAGGAAAATTATAGGAATAGGAATGAGTATGAACGTTTTGAGAGACGCATAATTACTGGCACAATATCTATAGGTGACATTGATTGTCACCAACTAATGGCAGCATTTACCTGGACCCAGATTCACGAAGCAGTTACGCAAGCACTTACGAACCTGTACATCTTTTCTCAATCTTTGGCAGCTTTGTTTACAATTATTAAACCGTTAATGAGCTCCGAAGCACCAGGAGGCTGTTTATAACAATAACAACAGTTGATTGGCAAGTTTTCATGCTTGTAAAATGTTTAATAAATGTAACCAAAGGCGTTAAAGACTGAGGAATGATGTATACGTTTGTAAGTACTTGTGTAACTGCTTTATGAATGAGTCCTGGTCTAATTGCCTGTTTTTAAGGTCAGTCGAGTAGGTCAAACAATACACAACTTGAAAACTTTTTCCTAGGGACTTAACAGAGGTCACATAATGCTGCCTAGTCCAGTTCTTATGGTGTGTGTCGTGTAGTGCAGCCAAAGGGTTAAATGTCTAGCATGGCCTGTATATATAGTGTAGTATTGTCTTGCAGGACTGCAGCTTAGTATTCAGCCCATTCTCAATGCTATTTGCAGTAAGGTATTTACAGTCAACAGTATCATCGAGGATATTGCATCTCTGCGAGTTTTCACAACGTGATGCGAGTATTCCAAGTGCAAGCCTCTAAATATCTTTCGGTAGCACACTACTATACAATAAAATAAGTAACACAAGTATAACTAGTGCAAGATACCTGGGGCCAGATTCACCAAGTAGTTACGCAAGCACTTACGAACCTTTACATCTTTCCTCAATCTTTGGCGGCTTTGTTTACAGTTATTAAACAGTTAATGAGCTCCGAAGCACCTGGAGGCTGTTTATAACAATAACAACAGTTGATATGGAAGTTTTCATGCTTGTAAACTGTTTAATAAATGTAACCAAAGCCGTCTAAGATTGAGGAAAGATGTACACGTTTGTAAGTACTTGCGTAACTCCTTCATGAATCTGGCCCCAGCT